AGCTTTATTTTATAGTTTTTCTTAGACAATGATAAATGATGTACACAAATTTCAGTATGGAAAAAAAGTGCAAGACCTTCAACGAAAAAAGTTCTCAAAAATCTACGCGCATTGAGTGTACTATCTCGATCATTTAAACATCTCGGACTCGCCCACCACTAAAAATGATTATTTAAATCTAAATTATATATTAAATGATATTTAATATTTGCTTTAGAGATGAAATTTCGACAAATTTATTTAAGAAAAAATGTTAAGCGCATATGCAGAATGTGGAAGCGGGACTCTTCTGCTTGCGTTTCTATGTTTATATCATTTAACAGTTTAAGCACATACGATTAAATGTAAAAAAAAAATATTTTTAATTGCGGAAAGAAATATTTATTAGTTACATTGAGTTACGCAAATCAATCGATTGTGCTGAAGGTGCCGGCTGCTTCCGAAAGGGCCAAAAATGGCACAATGCACACTCATTTTCCATCACTGTCACACATACAATCTCACTATTCTGTTGACTTCGTTTTCCCCTTCCGATAACTTTTTGCTTCTGCGCTTGCCCAGCACCGCTGTGCAAAGCTTTGCACGCGCAGTCGCCCGCGACACATATGTGCTGATTTGGGCATCCCGAAATAATGCGTTCGCCGAATATGTCCCTTAACAAAGCCATGGAGGCACGTGCAGTATGTGCTGAAACCACAAGTTTGGATGGTTTTCCACAGCTGGCCTAATAAAATTTTCCAACATCGTCCGATATGCAGCACCGTTGACAGATATTGAGACACCACTTTCATTTTCAAAAAAATATGGGCCAATTATCCTTTCGGAGGATACACCGCACCAAACAGTACACTTAAGTGGGTGTAATTCTCGCTGATGCACTGCTCTTGGATTTTCCGTAGCCCAAATCCTGCAGTTTTGCTTGTTGATATACCCATTTAATAGGAAATGGGCTTCATCGCTCATTACCAAATTGTGAATAAAGTCTGGATTTTCAATTATTCAATTATTTGTGCACGTTGTTCGATCGTGTAATGATTCATAAGTAATTCCCCAAGTCTTCTTCACAAATTTCTGAAAAAAAATTATAAAATAATAATTAAAAAAGTTATAAAGAATACAAACCATATAGCTCATTCGGCGCCACCCTGTATAACTAAAAACCCCGTAAATTCAAGAAATCTTGTTTTAGTGATGAACAAATTTTTTATAGTTTGAAAACTAATTTGGTAGGCGTTTGGTCCTAAAAATATGCTGAAGTGGCAACACTGGCTGCAAGAATAGCTGCATTACCTCAGACCAGGGAAAGACTGAGTGATGATACTTATAGTAGAATTTTACGACAAATATTTGTGTGGTACATTTTAATCCACTATATTCCCGTTTTATAAGCCCAATACAAGGTCCATGTGTTGCGGAATTAGAGGGTTAAAATATTGGAAAAAAATTCTCTCGCCGTATTTTACATATAGCTGCTGAACACATCTCATGTCTAAAATATTAAATATAAACTTTAATATAAAAAAATACCAATTTTGTCGTACAGTGATATGTATTAGAATTATGAAAAATTCTTATTTTTATTCCAGCAATTTAGGAAATGTTTATAAAGAACGTGGTCAGCTTCCAGAAGCATTAGAAAACTATAGACGAGCAGTTAGGCTAAAGCCTGACTTTATTGATGGATATATAAACTTAGCGGCTGCTTTGGTGGCGGCTCGTGACATGGAGTCTGCAGTTCAGGCGTATATTACTGCGTTGCAATATAATCCGGTAACTTATACAATGGTTTAAAAGTGAGTGATTACAAATTTTTTTTATAATTGTTTATTTTTTATAGGACCTTTATTGTGTACGTAGCGATCTAGGAAATTTGCTGAAAGCTCTAGGTAGACTGGAAGAGGCTAAGGTGAGTAAAAATGTGCATATACGCATTTCTTTGAACTGTTAAGCTACAATAAAAATTTCAGATTCGAGATAAAGCTTTTTATGTTTATACTAGAAATTTCTCGCTAATTCGCTTGTCTAACCCAAATAAGTACTTTTCCACTAAGATATTAAACGCATGCTTTTATTGTATGCATTTTTGCTTACTACACCTTTAGGAGATTTTATCTACGATTTTACTTTTTGAAGTGGATTTGAAAAAACTTATATTCATAACAAAGTAAATATTTCTAGCAGGGGTTTATAAGTGGCTTCAATTAATTCAAAATCTTTCCGACAATTGGTATAACAAACCACGAAAACTTCTTATACATAGATCTTTCAATAAAGGCAAAAGTTGAATATTTTGCAATATACCGAGCCATTATTACATTATACATTTGCAAATAATTAGAAACCAGCGCTATCTACCGGATAAATGTTTCCAAATAATGTGTTTAAATGTGTATATTCTGAATATCAACACAATATAACCATAAATAAGAGCTTCGCAAATAAATCGATACCCGTAACACCTGTGGGATCATTTTAAATATCTCGTTTATATCAACTCAACAAAGGTTGCATTTTTAAGCGCATGAGGAACTACAGACCTTACGTTTCGTTCAGAATAGCAATGCAATATTTTTGGGTTTGTTCCAGGTCTCATCGAGTATTATAAGAGATATGGACGATTGCAGTTTCATACTTACATACCTATTCTGCGTTGGTAACAAAAATTTTATTACCGGTAAATAAAGTTCCCTTTGGCAATCTGCCCACTGGTAAATTTTGTTACCATCTCATAAGCAGTTAACAAAGTATTGCCCCGTGAAGTATGCAACACCAGAATTTATACAAAACTTCATAGCTGAATTGCTGAATAGATTAAATTGTTATCAAGCTACTTAGAATTGTGGTTTCAAGAAGTGGTATTATTTTTTGGTAACAAAATTTCCCGGTGTCAAAATGTTTGGTAACAAGTAGATAGGCCTGTTAGAGCATCTACAAGCCGCTGGATGCCGCTGTGTGCAATATCCGCATCACTATTACTGCGCCAAAAAATGATGCCAACTGTAAATGTTTATATTCTGCATTTCTCTAAATGAAAATATGTGCTGCTGATATTTTTGGTAAATGGGTGAGCAAATATGCAAATAAAAAAATAATTTTCTTGTAAAAGATAACGTTTTTACAGGCCGTTGGTAAATGCGGAGAAAAGACTTCAGTTTACGCTCTTAAGAAATGTTCAACAAATTTAGCAATGTTATAAAGACAACAGAAATGGAGACTTAAAACTATTCGATTAATGATTCTTCTTTGGAATTAAAAAAAAAAGTAAAAAAAATGTGTAATTTGCGTACGGTTGCCAGACGTACTGATTTGGGAAGGACGGTACTGAATTTTCACTCGCCGTACTGAAAATTTTCAATACTGAAAATAACAACATACAGGGTGTCCCAGAAGTAACCTGCCAAACTTTAGGGGATGGTAGGTGGGGGGTGAGCTCTCTGATAAAATAAAATTTCAGGTAAAAGTGTTACCGTTTTTGAAATATTTACATTTCTTTTAATTAAAAAAAAATTGTGCCTTTTCATGTATTTTCTTGAACTGCATCTACAAACCAGGCTATACTTAGTAAATTTTTTATGTAAAATACTTCCAGATAGTTGCTTCTCCATACTCAAATGCAATGTAGTTAAAATATATTAAGGAACCATCATAAAATTAGGACTATTTTGGGATTTTTAACTTTTTGATATTTTCTTCCCCAACTTTGACTATCTCTACTGAAAAAATGTACTGAGCTATAAGTTTACATTACATAAAAAAATTGTTCATTTAATAAAGATTTCAGAAAGGTGCCACTCTTACTGTTTCGAATAGAAAAAAAAGTTATAGCCGCTTTTGTGGGCAAAGGACTGAGACAAGCTAGAATGTATTTAATGGATTTAAATTTAAGTTACTCTTGTTACCGACCAATGACATGCTAAATAGTACAAAGGTACATTATTACCTGCTCCTGACATTATTTTATGTTACTTACCGGAATTCGTACTAGAGTCTATAACAAGGGCTATATCTATCAATATTTTTTGTGAAGGATGGGTTCACGTGAAATAAAATATACATGAGTTGTTTGAAGAAAAATTTATTCATTTATTGATAAAATATGCTCAAATTGGCGACCTTCTACTCTAATACAAGCTCGGCACCTTTTAAGAAAATACACTTAGAGAGATCTTAAACTCAATTGGGCTATCTGAGCAGCAGGTCAATTTATTTGTTACCACAAATGCTCTTCGTTTTGAATTGTTTTTGAATAAATTTTGTCCTTAAGACAGCCCCAGTAGAAAAAATCTAATGGATTCAGGTCTGGCGATCGAGCGGGCCACGTGATTGGCCCGTATCGTCCAATCCATCGGCGAGGATAAGTTTCGTCTAAATGAGCTCTTACTTCACGCCCGTAGTGAGCAGGGCACCCGTCATTTTGCAGCCATAGTCTTCGCCGCAGGTTTAAGGGTACATCTTCTAAAAGAGTTGGAAGCCGTTCCTGAAGGAACTCTAAATAACTGTGAGAGTTGAGCGTTGGCGGCAGTTCCACAGGTCCCAATATCTGACAATTAAAAATACCGCACCATAAATTTATTTTGTACCGGTACTGCGAACGATCTTCTCTCATTTCGTGAGGATTGTCTATCTGCCAACTGTGAAGGTTATGTAAATTAAAATAACCATCACGTTTGCATGATGATTCATCGCTCCAAATTATTTTATTAAAAAAGTTGGGGTCTGATTCATGCATTCGCAACATTTCACGGCAAAATCTAACCCTCGACAGGTAATCTCTTTCCTGTAGAGCCTGAACACGTTGAATGTGGTAGGGATGAAATCGATGGTCTTTTAAAGCTTTGTGAACTGTAGTTTTTGGTATTCCCGTCTCTTTCCATCATTCTAACTGAAGTCGATGAACCTAGTTCCACTCCCTCTAACACAACTTCTACATCTACCGTTGCAGGACGTCCTGTTACGCCGCCACGCCTTCCAGGTATGCGACCTTAAAAAAGTGAAAAATGATAGTTAACAAGCAAGCAAACAAGAAAAGTGTAAAAATCACTTACCTTCATATATTTCTCTATGGGTCCGGGCGGATACTTCACGACCCGGATGCCGACGATTGGGGTATCGCTCTGCATAGAGTATTTGAGCAGCTCTGGCATTACAGCAAGCTTCACCGTAATTTAGGTGAATATCCGCATATTCATACTGTGTGTTCTCTGTTATAGTATAAATAACACAATGTTCGAAGGGTCCAATTTCACAAAATCCACTTTCACTAATTCCGGTAAGTAACATAAAATAATGTCAGGAGCAGGTAATAATGTACGTTTGTATTATTTAGCATGTCATTGGTCGGTAACAAGAGCAACTTAAATTTAAATCTATTAAATACATTCTAGCGTGTCTGAGTCCTTTGCCCACAAAAGCGGCTATAACTTTTTTTTCTATTCGAAACAGTAAGAGTGGCACCTTTCTGAAATCTTTATTAAATGAACGATTTTTTATGCAATGTAAAGTATAGCTCAGTACATTTTTTTTTCAGCAGAGATAGTCAAAGTTGGGGAAGAAAATATCAAAAAGTTAAAAATCCCAAAATAGTCATAATTTTATGATGGTTCCTTAATATATTTTAACTACATTGCATTTGAGTATGGAAAAGCAACTATATGGAAGTAATTTACATAAAAAATTTGCTAAGTATAGCCTGGTTTGTAGATGTAGTTAAAGAAAATACATTAAAAGGCACGATTTTTTTTTTAATTCAAAAGAATTTAAATATTTCAAAAACGGTAACACTTTTACCTGAAAATTTTTTGTTTATCAGAGAGCTCACACCCCCACCGCCCTTCCCCTAAAGTTTGGCAGGTTACTTCTGGGACACCGTGTATATGTACATGCAAACAAACGAGCTAGGCATGGGCATCTCCACATCGGCGATTCTTATGTAGGTATTCAGTCAGAATTTGGAAGAAAGATACATGGAGTATCTTAAGTTACAACTAGGAGCGACGTTCTACGCCAGATATGTTGATGACATCGTCTGTCTTATAACAAAGAAAAATGAAGAACAGATATTGGCATACTTCAACAAACAGCACAGCAACATAAAATTCATAATGGAACAGGAATTGGAAGGAAGCTTAAAATAAATAAAGACACCGATAGTCTGCAATATGAAATTTTTAAGACACAGTAACATATACAACAATACATAATACTTCGAGCCATCTTTTTAAGACACAGCAACATATACAACAATACATAATACTTCGAGCCATCCTCATCAGCATAAAAAAGCCACCTTTAGACAGATGATCAATAGAATTGAGCGAATACCATTAACAAAAGAAGGATACAAGAGCGAACTGAACGCAATATATGCCATAGCGGCTAATAACGGATACAAGAGAAATCTGGTAGAGAAAATCCGAAGGGAGCACAAAAACAAAAAGCCAAACAAAGAAGAAAACAATTGCAAAAATTGGGCGGTATTAACCTATACTGGAAAGTCAACGTACAAACCAAAGCGGCTCCAGAAACACTACCTTCGCCCATCATTCATTCATTGGATGAACAAGGAGTATACAAACTAACTTGCAAATGCCAGCAGAATTATATAGGTCAAACAGAACGTAAAATAAAAACAAGATTCCGCGAATATATAACAGATAAAAATACACAGAAATCGAGATATGGGCCTTCGAAGTTCGAAATTGGACCTTTGGTAAAAAATTATTTTTAATTATTGTATGTAAAAAACCAAATAAGTAAGAATACAGACGTGGTCCGCCCTTTCCTCTTATTTAAATGGTATATAACTATTTTTGTACAAACTTATATTACGGGTGCTATTTGGGGTCAATAGTAAGGTTCAAAATTTTCTGAAATGCAAAGTTTTTATTTTTTCGAAGACCTGACCTT